TGTGAAAATCGGCCATTAGCAATGCCATATATCCTACCGACCAGCTATGATATAACTCGCTCTCCCCTCTGTGTGTGTGTGTGCGATAATTGGTGTAAATGCCACAAAGCTAGGACCCGCTGCTCCGCTGTCCTTAGCCTGCGACTTGGAATCGAAATCGGGCTCGCAAATCGGACGTTTAATATGCAGCTGCATAACTTATGGCGCTGCCGGCCATTAATTTGTGTATGCTAGTGTGCGAGTGAGCCTGTGTGCGTGTCCGTGTATTGGTGGCCGGTGCAGGAATCGTTGCATAGCCACAGGCGCACGTGCGTGACCTGCTCGCACATATATATTTTATTTTAATTTGTTTAACAAACGAAAGTTTGCCGCCTTCTTCGCCTTGGCTCTGGTCGTCATCACGATCGCTTCATTTGCCTCATTCAATCTGGCACACGTTCCGATACAGCGACACACAGGACACAAGAATATATATATACATATATATATAAGTATATATATTGATATATTGAGAGCGGGACGCACAATCACAATGGTCGTGTTGGCCCGGCCGAAACAATATGCAAACAATTTTTACCGTTACATGACCGAAATACACAAAATATCCTTTGGCCAACAGACAGGCGCACTTTTATGGTCACGTGCGATTATAAGTATGTCCGAAATGTATTCCCATATTGACAGAGCAAAAAAATGGGGGTCTCAAAATAATTAAAAACAATATATTATCAAGTATTTTAGCATTTATTTAAAATATTTTATAGAATTGCCACGGTAAATTGATAACTAAAATATAGGGTTTTGTGTTTTGTTAGAAGAATGGTTTCAAGTTAATATTATAAATAAATATTTGGAAAGATATATTGTTAATATTACAAATATTAAAGGTAAATTTTTTGTATAGTCTCCTTAATTGGTTATTGTTTTAATCTGAATAATAAATTTTCATGAACTAACTTTTTATTTTACTTAAGGTCCGAAAATTTCGGCTAATTCTTCTTTAAAAAGAATAAAATAGTAAATAAAATACTTTTTAGTATTTATATAAATGTTTTAGGTACCATTTTAATAAATTTAGCTGCTTTTCTCCCAGTTTATATATTTGGAATATGTAAAAATGGCAAACTGACCAGGTCTTGGTCCCAAAAAAACGAAGAAGCAACCAAAAAAAAAACGAAGCCAAGCAAAATATCTGGGCGACAAAAAGGAACCGAAAAAAGGTCGCCTTGGCATGGCACTTTTCCAATATGCCAATAGATACAAGTCCCAATACAGTGGGCAGTGACTTCAGGAAAACCCCCACAAAAAAGGACATGGCCAGGACAAAAAGCAACCCTTTCTTACCAATCCACACTGTACTTCCTCTCGGCAATAACAGATTCGCTATAATTTTAATAAAAATTGTTTCATTGCCAAAATTCTTCTGGTGGTGAAATATAAAAATAAAACCTTGAGAGCGAAGAGTGAAAATTAAAATTAGAGGAAACTGTTTTGCATTTTAATTAGGCTCAAGTTTGCCAAATTTTTGCCAAGGAAACGAACTAAGGAACGAATGTCCTTTGGCCCCGAGCTAACCCTTTTTTATTGGTCATGTCTCGGGAGTTGATCGACGTTTTCTTCATTTTTTCTTTCGCTATTCGTTTTCGTGAAGTAAGCCCCGAAACGGAAAGTTGTCCGTCACTCTGATGATGGCCGTGACACCCGTAAGTGGCATGTGTGTGTGTGCGTGAGGGTCCTTGGTCCTCGTGCGACCTAGTGTGTGTGTTTAGGTCGCACGCCTTTGTCCGCCTGATTGATGATGTCCCGCCGAAATGGCCAAACAATGCGAAATCCATAAGTTGACAAGACAATTATTTTGCAGCCCGCTGAGTTTCCTCCCGGCGAAGTCGGAAGAACGGAATAAAGTCATTCCGAAGTCAAATTGTGACCTTATCTGGGATAGCTGCCAAGTTTATTTTTGGTTGCGTAATCGAGATGTCATCGAATTAGTTGAAGTGTCGTAAAGAGGGGATTCTAATTAATTAAGGATTGTGATTTCAATACGCATTTGTTGTTTTTTATTATATATTTTCAATAAGAGAAAATTTTACATTTTAAACTGAGTATGCAGCTTTTTTAACGTGCCAAACCTAGCATGGATACGCTTTCCGAATTAAAATTAATCCCTTTTTGATTTAGTTATGAGATTTTTACATTTTTGTTTGTCCAAAAAATATTTATATAAAAATATGGTTAATATCGATTATAAATTGTATCGCACCTCTAGTCAGAAGCTTAAAACTAAGTGAAGGAGTCATTTCCGACCCTATAAATCATATATATTCTTGATCAGCATCAACAAGCGAATCTTTCAAGCAATATCCAGCAAACAAAAATTTTTTTTCGGAAATTTCTCATTTTTTGAATAAAAAGGAAAAGGGTTACGTCATTAAAATTTACAAAAATCGGTCAAAAATTCACATTTTAAATGTAGTATGCAGCTCTGTTAACCTGCTAAAAACAAGTATGGGAACGCTTTCCGAATTAAAATTAATCATTTTTTGGCTAAGTTATTATATTTTAAAAAACACGGCTTTCTCAAAAAAACTAAACTAAACTAGACAGCACTTTCTACCGGCAGTTCGGATACGTAATTAATGTCTGAAAACTCTAGCAGAGGGCGATTTTCTTTGGTGTTCCATTTTTCGATTTCGAATTAGGTCTACGTGGATTTAATTTACTTAAAAGGCATGCATATTATTTCACCGATGACAGCACTTTCTACCGGCAGTTTAGATAGGTATTTAATGTCTGAAAACTCTAGCAGAGGGCGACTTTCCTGGGTGTTCCATTTTTCGATTTCGAATTAGGTCTATATCGTAAGTATAACAGCTCAATGAAAATACAACTTCGAAATACATAAAATCACAAAAGCGACACTGTGCGACCAATGCGCGAACTCTTAGATGGAAAGTAAAATAAGTTTGACAAATTTTTTAGGTCTGACAGTGCCGTTTATTGTCTTCTAAAGGGCAGTGCTGCTCTCTACCGCCTGTTAACAAAATTTAAAAAGTTCAGCTAACGGCCACTAGCTGTCGCTTAATGTGACGTAAAATTTCAGTTTTTATGTCGCGCCTTACTGCCCCCTATCGAAAGTTTACTAGGTCAACTGTTTTTGAATTACTATTTTTATTTTTCTAATTGCATACTTTACGGGAGTTTACAATAGAGATATTTATTTTTGTTGTAGCATAGTTTTCGGCTGCAATTGTATATTAATGTCAATTGCTTTCTGCAGCATTCTGTTCGCCTGGTACTTCAAATCGGAAATCGAGCAATTTGCTTACAGATTCTTGGGAAGTTGGGTGCTCTTGGCATCAGTGGTGCGATGTGATTTTCTCCCAACTGTGCAATATAGCAAGATTGGCATCACTGGTAATTGCGATGGGTTTTTCTCCCAACAGCGCATTATAGCTGATTGCCATCACTGGAAAGTAAGATGCGATTTTGTCCCAACTGTGCAATATAGCTAGATTGGCATCACTGATAAGTGCGATGCTATTTTGTCCCAACTGTGCAATATAGCTAGATTGGCATCACTGATAAGTGCGATGCGCTTTTCTCCCAATTGTGCAATATAGCTAGATTGGCATCACTGATAAGTGCGATGCGTTTTTCTCCCAACTGTGCAATATAGCTAGATTGCCATCACTGATAAGTGCGATGCGTTTTTTTCCCAACTGTGCAATATAGCTAGATTGGCATCACTGATAAGTAAGATGCAATTTTGTCCCAACTATGCAATATAGCTAGATTGGCATCACTGATAAGTAAGATGCAATTTTGTCCCAACTATGCAATATAGCTAGATTGGCATCACTGATAAGTAAGATGCAATTTTGTCCCAACTATGCAATATAGCTAGATTGGCATCACTGATAAGTGCGATGCGTTTTTCTCCCATTTGTGCAACAGTGATGGCAATCTAGCTATTTTGCACAGTTGGGACAAAATCGCATCGCACTTATCAGTGATGCCAATCTAGCTATATTGCACAGTTGGGAAAAAATCGCATCGCACTTATCAGTGATGCCAATCTAGCTGTATTGCACAGTTGGGAAAAAACGCATCGCACTTATCAGTGATGCCAATCTAGCTATATTGCACAGTTGGGACAAAATCGCATCGCACTTATCAGTGATGCCAATCTAGCTATATTGCACAGTTGGGAAAAAAACGCATCTTACTTATCAGTGATGCCAATCTAGCTATATTGCACTATTGGGAGAAAAACGCATCGCACTTATCAGTGATGCCAATCTAGCTATATTGCACAGTTGGGAAAAAAACGCATCGCACTTATCAGTGATGGCAATCTAGCTATATTGCACAGTTGGGACAAAATTGCATCTTACTTATCAGTGATGGCAATCTAGCTATTTTGCACAGTTGGGACAAAATCGCATCTTACTTATCAGTGATGGCAATCTAGCTATTTTGCACAGTTGGGACAAAATCGCATCGCACTTATCAGTGATGCCAATCTAGCTATATTGCACAGTTGGGAAAAAATCGCATCGCACTTATCAGTGATGCCAATCTAGCTGTATTGCACAGTTGGGAAAAAAACGCATCGCACTTATCAGTGATGCCAATCTAGCTATATTGCATAGTTGGGACAAAAACGCATCGTACTTATCAGTGATGCCAATCTAGCTATATTGCACAGTTGGGATAAAATCGCGTCGCACTTATCAGTGATGGCAATCTAGCTATTTTTCATAATTGGGAGAAAAACGCATCGCACTTATCAGTGATGCCAATCTAGCTATATTGCACAGTTGGGAAAAAATCGCATCGCACTTATCAGTGATTCTAATATAGCTACAACAGTTTTATTTGAATATAATAAAACAGTGTTTTTCTATTAATTTTTTTATTACACAAAATACATAGGTGTCACAATGCAGATATAATATTATAAAGTTAATTTATATATATATATATATAAGTCTATCTAGTCTAATCTAGTCGTTTTCCTTTATTTTGTGGGCATCAAATGCACTTCCGAAAAAAACCAACCCCTTTTGGGGTGCCCCTTCTCCGCTCCGTGAAAACATTAACATTTAATTCAACTGCCCCATTCAAATGTCCGTCTGTGCCTGTGTCTGCTGCACCTGCCACTCTCTCTCTCTCTCTCTCTGTCTAGCGAAAAAATCATGGAAAAATAATGAAAACGCGAAAAAGATGTGTCTGTTTGCGTATTTTTCCACTTTTTTAATCAGTTTTGCAAAAATGGTTCTGAGCATATCCGCGCGATTCCACGCTGATTTTATTATCAATTTTCATAAAAAACTTGTGCGATTTTTGCAGCACCTGACGGGCAGCTGGACAGGTGGACACAGCGATGGGTGGACAGGTGGACAAGTGTACGGGGGCGGAATGGAGCCTATTCATCGGTAGCCACGTCAACCGTCGTCCGCACAGCCAATTACGCAAATTAAACAGATTGTTATCCTGTCTCGACCCGGACAATGTGACAAGCCGCGTCGCTTAATTCAATCAACGTGACATAATTACTTAATTAATTAAGTGCCCAGCGCCCGGCGGTCACACATTCAAATCGGCCATCATTTTCCGAAAGTCGTTCAGCGAGCCGTACATCTCAAAGTCTCCTCCGCCTCCGTTCCCATTTTGTACTCCGCCCCGATCCCGATCACGATCCTGATCGTAGGACCGCTGAGACCGAGCGCTGGGCGGGCGTGGCAGCGTCAGCGGCACTGGTAGAAGCTCAGGCATCACCGAGTGATGAGTGATTAACGATTTCAGCGAGCTAAATTCCTTGGTGAATCCCTGAAAGGAAGGAGAAAATGGATGATTTAATATAGTAAAGGTCAAGGCTAACAGTGGGAGGAAACCTTACGCTTACCTTGATCTTGTAGCCCCTTTGAGTCCTGAGGATCAAATAATGAGCGACTCGTGGCGAAGGTGGCGGCACTCTCAGTGACAGGGCAAAGCATCCTGGCTTGGTGCTGCTCTGCCGCACCAAAAAGGCGCCAGGACTCTGGCGGGACAGGACCTCCAGCGAGATTTCCCGGGGAATGCCCGCCTGAAACCAGGCGGCTCCCTTCAGCTCCTGCTGCTCGGCCAGGCTGAGGTTATCCAAGCGTAGGGAACCATGGGCGGGAAACAGTTTTGGACTGGAGTTGGCTGTAAATTAAGGTAACTATTTCAGTTCTTAGTTAAGTAATTATTGTGGTACCATTACCGCTGCATGTCTCCCTCATATACTTCTTGTTGCTGGCGGGCAGCTCCACCTGCAGGCGCTGCGTGGCGCTCTCGAGGGCGGAGAGCGACTGGCGGCAGGAGTCGCCGAACTTGCTGGCCACATACTTCTCCGGCGTTCCATCGCAGATGGCCTCGTTCACATACCCGTCCGAGATGGTCTGCGTGGAGCCACAGCCAGATCCGGAGCCAGAGCCAGAGGTTAGGGAGGAGCCGCAGGTGCTGTGCACCAACGGACGACTGTCCTCGGTGCCCCGCAGCAGGCCGATGCTCATGGTGAGGCGCTTCACCTGCAAAAGGATTGCAAATGCACGTTGAAATATGAAAGTGGCTTTTAATCATAGTAGAATGTGTGAAAAATAAGAATAAATATACTTTAAGATTAACAATAAATGAATAAAAACAATATTAAATTCCCAAAATATATTTCTCTCTCGGATCCCTCTAGATTTTTTTCAGGTGTAACCACTGGCAGTCGTACATTTTGCATGTTGCATGTTGTCTGCCAATTTACCAAAGTTTTAGCATTGCGATAATGGCGAATTCGGGACTCTGCCGTTGTGTCTGACCAGTATCGGGAGGTCAGGTGCAGTTGTTCAGGGATTTGTGGGTCTCACCCCCCACGGGTCACCTCCACCCACCCCCCGGAAAATCCGGGGAACATCAAACACACTTTAGCTCTTTCACTCACAACCAGAGGAACCGCAACAACGTGCCTCCCCCCTGCCACTTTTCTCGCCTCCAAAGCCCGGCCAACAAACAACAACAACCGAGATTGATGTGTAAAATTTTTGGTTACCAATAAAATGTTAAACAGAGGGGCTTGCTCCGCCCCCAACCTGCGGCAATACACCGAGGCATTGGCTTCTGCGGCAAATTACTTTGAAATGAGTTGAGCTGGAACTGGAAGGGAAACTTTCGGACTAATACCACTGCCATTGGCTTTTCCTTCTCCGCCCAAATGGTTTCCCTCTGCGTTTCGCAATTAGCCAACAGCCTAAACGTAAATGGGACTTGGTTATTTCCGCGTAATTTGCGATAATTATGTTGATTTAATGGAGAGATGAAAGCGAAATCGCCAGGCCAGAATTGAAGTTGGAAATTCTTTTAGTTCGGGCGATTATTGAGATGCCGGAGGTTCGTTCAAGTGAATTTCCAATTGCAGCTAATTAAATTGGCGCATTCTCGCCACTTGGCTGTTGTTAAGTATGCAATCAGAGCGTCGGGCCAACCTAATGCCCCCATTATGCTAATGGCATCGAAAAAGACTTCCACAGATCGAGATCTGCAGAGATGTCACCAGAGATGGCATAAAATCGGTTAACTGCAAGTAATATTTAATGAAACTTAATTTTGCATTTGATTAAGGTCTGCTATTTGGGGACGCTTAACATATCAAATAAAATTATTGGTAAATATCAATGAAAAATGGCAAATTCGTGTGTGTTCCTGGCAGCATAAATTGCTCAAAACGTTGAGGATTGCAGAAAGTCATATATATTCTGAATCCCCATTAAAATCCCAGTTAATTAGAAGCAAAAACATGGGAACAAAAATTTTGACCATTTTAGCCAATTTTTGCAAAATTTTAAAAGGGGTTACATCATTAAAATTGTCAAAAATCGCAAAAATTTTACATTTTAAACTGAGTATGCAGATTTGTTACCCTGGTAAAAACTAGCATTGCAGCGCTTTCCGAATTGAAATTAATCAATTTTTGGCCAAGTTATGAGTTTTTCAAACTTCAATTGGTTAAAAAAATATCAAATAAAATTATGGGTAAATATCAATGAAAAATTGCAAATTCGTGTGTGTTCCTGGCAGCATAAAATGCCAAAAACGATGAGTATTGCAGAAAGTCATATATATTCTGAATGAGTTTTTTAAACTTCAATTGGTTAAAAAAATATCAAATAAAATTATGGGTAAATATCAATGAAAAATTGCAAATTCGTGTGTGTTCCTGGCAGCATAAAATGCCAAAAACGATGAGGATTGCAGAAAGTCATATATATTCTGAATCCCCATTAAAATCCCAGTTAATTAGAAGCAAAAACATGACAACAAAAATTTTGACCATTTTAGCCAGTTTTTGCAAAATTTTAAAAGGGGTTACATCATTAAAATTGTCAAAAATCGCAAAAATTTTACATTTTAAACTGAGTATGCAGATTTGTTACCCTGGTAAAAACTAGCATTGCAGCGCTTTCCGAATTGAAATTAATCAATTTTTGGCCAAGTTATGAGTTTTTTAAACTTCAATTGGTTAAAAAAATATCAAATAAAATTATGGGTAAATATCAATGAAAAATTGCAAATTCGTGTGTGTTCCTGGCAGCATAAAATGCCCAAAACGTTGAGGATTGCAGAAAGTCATATATATTCTGAATCGCCGTTAAAATCACAGTTAATTAGAAGCAAAAACATGACAACAAAAATTTTGACCATTTTAGCCAGTTTTTGCAAAATTTTAAAAGGGGTTACATCATTAAAATTGTCAAAAATCGCAAAAATTTTACATTTTAAACTGAGTATGCAGATTTGTTACCCTGGTAAAAACTAGCATTGCAGCGCTTTCCGAATTGAAATTAATCAATTTTTGGCCAAGTTATGAGTTTTTTAAACTTCAATTGGTTAAAAAAATATCAAATAAAATTATGGGTAAATATCAATGAAAAATTGCAAATTCGTGTGTGTTCCTGGCAGCATAAAATGCCCAAAACGTTGAGGATTGCAGAAAGTCATATATATTCTGAATCGCCGTTAAAATCACAGTTAATTAGAAGCAAAAACATGACAACAAAAATTTTGACCATTTTAGCCAGTTTTTGCAAAATTTTAAAAGGGGTTACATCATTAAAATTGTCAAAAATCGCAAAAATTTTACATTTTAAACTGAGTATGCAGATTTGTTACCCTGGTAAAAACTAGCATTGCAGCGCTTTCCGAATTGAAATTAATCAATTTTTGGCCAAGTTATGAGTTTTTTAAACTTCAATTGGTTAAAAAAATATCAAATAAAATTATGGGTAAATATCAATGAAAAATTGCAAATTCGTGTGTGTTCCTGGCAGCATAAAATGCCCAAAACGTTGAGGATTGCAGAAAGTCATATATATTCTGAATCGCCGTTAAAATCACAGTTAATTAGAAGCAAAAACATGACAACAAAAATTTTGACCATTTTAGCCAGTTTTTGCAAAATTTTAAAAGGGGTTACATCATTAAAATTGTCAAAAATCGCAAAAATTTTACATTTTAAACTGAGTATGCAGATTTGTTACCCTGGTAAAAACTAGCATTGCAGCGCTTTCCGAATTGAAATTAATCAATTTTTGGCCAAGTTATGAGTTTTTTAAACTTCAATTGGTTAAAAAAATATCAAATAAAATTATGGGTAAATATCAATGAAAAATTGCAAATTCGTGTGTGTTCCTGGCAGCATAAAATGCCCAAAACGTTGAGGATTGCAGAAAGTCATATATATTCTGAATCCCCATTAAAATCCCAGTTAATTAGAAGCAAAAACATGACAACAAAAATTTTGACCATTTTAGCCAGTTTTTGCAAAATTTTAAAAGGGGTTACATCATTAAAATTGTCAAAAATCGCAAAAATTTTACATTTTCAACTGAGTATGCAGATTTGTTACCCTGGTAAAAATTAGCATCGCAGCGCTTTCCGAATTGAAATTAATCAATTTTTGGCCAAGTTATGAGTTTTTCAAACTTCAATTGGTTAAAAAAATATCAAATAAAATTATGGGTAAATATCAATGAAAAATTGCAAATTCGTGTGTGTTCCTGGCAGCATAAAATGCCCAAAACGTTGAGGATTGCAGAAAGTCATATATATTCTGAATCGCCATTAAAATCCCAGTTAATTAGTAACAAAAACATGAGAACACATTTTTTTACCATTTTAGCCATTTTTTTCAAAATTTTAAAAGGGGTTACATCATTAAAATTGTCAAAAATCGCAAAAATTTTACATGTTAAACTAAGTATGCAGATTTGTTAGCCTGATAAAAACTAACATAGCAACTCTTTCCGAATTGAAATTAATTAGTTTTTGGCAAAGTTATGATCGATTAAAATTTTATTAAACTCCACAAATCCAAACTACAAGGCTGTACAAACATTGCTTCTGGTTTTAAATTGATCCTTAAAGGAAAATGGAAAACAGTAAGCTGAAATTATCCTCCAAAGGGATCTCTCAGTTCTTATTAAGTTCACTTTCAAGACAAATTTGCCCGAGAAAAGGATAAGTTGCCAGCACTACCACTACTCCCGACTGGCAGACAAATCCCGACTATAAAGAATGCATAAGACAAGAGGGCAGGGGCGTGGCTGGGATTCGTTTGGATTTTCCAAGGTATTTCCCAGACAAAGGCACAATAGACGTGTCTAAGCAGCATTCACAGCGGCAGCCATTTGATTTTCTCTCGCTTTTCCTTCTGTCTCTCCTCGATTTTCCCAGCAGGAGCAGGAGTGCTGCTGCTTCGTTATCTGTGGAAAAGTTTGCAGGTTGCCTACTTTCAGGCACGACGGCTGGGAAAAGTTTCCCATTGTCCTTTGGCCAGGAGTAGAAGGATTCTGCCTAGGCCTAAAAACACGTCGCTGTCGGATGCATTTGCATTTGCATTTCCCGTTGCCGCCTTTGCTGCGATTTATGTGTCATAAAGTCAGTAAGCTAACGGCATTTGGCTGCCATTTGCCTCACATCCTGCCATTGTTGAGCAGGACTCCCCTGCACTAAAAGGAAAATGGCTGCGTCTTGACGCGCTGTCATTAAACTATTTAAGTTGCGAATTGTAAATGGTAATGGGAAAGTTCCCTCACGCTTGAGGTTTGACTTTAGTAAAAGGGGTTATATATTTTAAGGCAACTAATTAATGCGAGCACTTAAAAGTTTTTACATTAATTTCGGGATCTTCTATGGGTTCATCTTAAGCTTAAAGATGGGTTTGTTTTAAGTACCTCCTTAAATTAAAATGAAACTTAATTAAAGCGATAGCATTGCATTTTATCAGAATATACTAACTTGATTTTAAACAAGAGCTATTTTAATTTATAATAATGGTTTTTTCCGTATCTATCAGTAATTTTATTGATGGAATCATACTAGTCTTGAAGGAAACTATTTTACAAATGAATATTTGATAGAATTGTGCTTGCGAACTATTATCCCTTCAACAACTAACATTTACTTCTCCTATAAAAATACCCATTATTTCTCCCAGTGCTCTCTCTCTCCCTTTTTGTCCAATTTTAGTTGTGTGCCGTTAGTGCTGCTCTGTTAGTGGCGCGTGCCAAAGTGCCGTTAGTTGCAAATTTGCATTTGTGCAAATTAATTTAATGAACTCTTTTCGGCTGCAGGCTTAGTGGCACAACAACACTCCATTTCACGTGGAGTACGTCCTTGGAGTCCAATTGTTGAGGCCCAATAGCCTTTGAATTCAATGGAAGTGGCGCCATTTCGCCAGCAGAGTGATTTAAGGCAAAGAAAGTTGAAAATTGAAGATGCAACTGCAAAAAAGGCAATCTGAAATATTACACTTAATTTCGGTTTTAGCCAGCCAAAGGATTTTCCACTTCGATGTTGTCTCAATTTGAAGTTTTCCTCTTTCAGCCGCTACTTTGCATTGCTTTGCCATTAAGAACGATGCTTCAATAGGCACTATTTTCATCCATTTTCTCTCATTTTCTCCATTTCCCTGGAAAAATCATCAACGTAAGCAGATTTATGCTCTGTGCAAAGTAATTTGCGAGCACTGGGAGGCTTCAAAGGAACCTGGCCACAATACAAAAAATGATTGCTCCCCGGACTACTGTCTCGCCCACCTCTGCCTCCTTCTCCTGGCTCAATACCTGGTCTAATAGTTAATATTAAGTAGCGGGATTGATAAACGAAACGAGAGCAAAGGGAAAACACTGGGGGAATCTCTTATATTTCCAGGAAATTTTAATGCCACACTTACTGAATATATATGAGATTTCACTGGTTTACAGGCTTCAGACTCACATTAGAATACGCTGCAGGGGCTTAAAAATCATCCTCTAATAGTTCAAAATATCTATAAATTATTTGTAGGCCCCATTTTCCCTCAGTGATCTCATTCAGGACTTACCAGCGGCGGTTTATCAACCAAACGACGGCAATTATTCATTTCAGTGGGCGAATTATCCTCCTCGGAGCTGGGCGAGCGCAGGTGGTGCGACTGTGGATGCAAGGGCGATGGCTCCTGTCCGGACAGCTCCTGGGCATCGTGGTGGCTGTGCAGCAGCTGCAGCTGCTCCACAGGGCGGCGCTGCTGGTAAGGATGCGGATGCGGATGCGGATGTGGATGCGGATGCGGATGCGTGTGCTGCGGATGCGAGGGCGGAGTTAGCGGAGGACGGAGCTGCTGGGCCGGCGGATGATGATGATGATGGAAGTAATGCTGCGGCGATGTCGTTGTCACTGCTCCAGCAGCTGGTTCACTGCGGTTAACAAATGATATCAGGGCTTACGGGGGTGCAAAACTTTGGGACGATGATTAAGGGCATACTCTAGTTTTTTTCCCCCCTTCTGTTCTGTTCTGTTCTGTTTCATTTTCATACCTGCCTGGTGGTGACTTTTCAGCTGTCTCAATCAGCGTGGTCTCAGCTGTTTGGGAGGACGAGGATGTGGAGGACGTGGAGGCGGAGCAGGACGAGGCGGAGGCTAAAAATGTGGCTGTACTGTGCTGCGGTTCCAGGCGTAGGCGTATATCCTGCATGGCCATCGGTGTGTGAATAATAATCTTTAGAGTTTTTCACAATTATTTAAAGCATCTGAAAAGGAGACAAAGAAAAATACCTTTTAATTATTTAGAAAATACATGTAATTAATTATAAGTTATTAGGTTTCTTAATATATTCTTTACTTTTTTAGGTAAATCTGAAAATTCTGTAACTTTTATAAGAATATTTAGTCACTCCCACTGTCATAAACATCAGAATCATCCTTAAAAAAAACTATATTTCCTTGATGTAAAAAGCATAAGATGTAAGGAGCTTGTTAAAAGTTGCTGGAACCCTTTCAGAACATTGGGAAAAACTTTTAGCCACTCTTGAGGGCAGAAACTTCGGTCACTTCTGGACCCTATGCTAATGGCATCGTTGATAATTTCTTGACTTATTCTTCCAGTGCAACATTTTTCGCCTGCTGCCGAAAAGTTTTCACTTTAAGCTGCTGCCACTTTTTAAAAGGGCTTTAAGCCTTTCCGACTGCAAACTTTCCAGCCACAACTTGCCGCTCATTGAATCTTCCTCGACATATACGAATATATACACTATATGTTTGGGTGCCGGTGGCCTGTTTCGATAGTTCTTGGGAAAAGAAACTTTTAATGCGATTTTAAGCCCTTTGCTATTTGTTGGCAAATTGTTTCAAGAATTTCAGCATATTAATTTTTAAAGCTTTTATGGCTTGTTAATTGAAACCCGAATGTGGGTTAAGGTTGGCTAAGAGAAGACTGAACCGAAGGAGGCCTTAACTTTGCCCCGAAGGTCTGCTCGTCCTGAATCAGTTTTTATTATTCTCCAGCCGGTGCTGCACCACTTTACCCACTTTTAAACAATGCACAAAGCAGCAGCCCCTGCAACAAAGGAACTTGCAACACTGAAGGGAGCTGGGGTTGGAAAATCATTGGGGCAGCTGCCGGCGAGATGTTCTTGCCTGTTCTGTGATGCTGCTCTGCATTTAACAAGTATACGCCATGCTGGCCGGGCCTTAGAGGGGAGCAGAAATCACAAATGCGCCGACAAAGTTCTGCCAAGTGTCAAATGACAACCAGAAGTGACTGGCCAGAGTGCGAGGAGCATTGTGTCTCACATGTTAATTCAGCTTGTCGTACAACCAAATGCATCCACATGTCGTTGCCACTGGCTACATGGATGATAATAAGCTGCAAATATCTGCTCTGCAGATTGCGACACACAACACTACCCTTCTTCATTTTCAAACGAGAAGTTACTTACTCCTCCAAAACAACAAAAGAGGGCAGAACCCCAAATCAAGTTAAAGTTTTGCTCAATAAATTTCACAGAAAAGTTTACATTTTATTGCTGCCTGTTTTGTGGTAAGCAAAAGGTCTTTTATCTATTCAAGGAATCGAGGAAAATTATAGGAAACTGTGACTGAAGTAAGGAGTTTGTTGGAGTTATAGTTTTACTCTGAAATAGTTAATTGTTTACTAGATTTCTTAGTTGTTTAATAAAGTTCGATTCAAACCTAATTTTTAAATATCTTTACCAATTGTAAAGCAATTTATTAATATTATTTCAAGCTCTAGTCCCAAACAATATTCTTATAGACATGGCAAACATTAGGAACCCAATATTTTGGCAAATATTACTGCCAAGTGTGTGTCTTATCCGCTATCTTTTCAATATTCCCTGCCACAGTCTGTTATTCCTTTGGCTTGCTTGGGAATTGAAAGCCACCTTTATTGCCTTCGTTTCCAGTGTGTGTGTGTGTGTGTGTGTGTCTGTTGGCATATGACAACCTTCATATCCTCGGCATCCTCAGTGCGCTCCATAAGTTCCGATATATAGTGTATATGTGGTCCTGTGACTGTGTTAGCCCGCTTCCGCTCACATCTCGCACATTTTCTTGTTAGTTTATTGAAATTGATATTATGGTTATGTGCTACTTCCCACCATTACCTCGGCTCCTCAGCGGGTGTGTATCCCTTTTTCATGGAGATTTTGTTGCAGAATTCATTGTTAAATCGTTTGGAACAGTTTTAGTCTCTTTTATTTTTTTTCTGTTCCGCCCAGGAAAAGTTTGATTGCCGTATGAAGTGTTTGTGTTTTATGTCTGCCGCTTTTCAGTTTCCCATTTGGCTTGGTTATAGTTTTTCAGTGTTTCAGAGAGCTCAAGTCCTGGGGGAAATTGCAAGACGAGTACATAGAAACTGAAATGTGAATCAGAAAATCTATATGGGAACAGTACCTTCATCCCTTGATATCAAATTTTCAAATCCTTTTTGCAACATCTCTAATCCAGCGTTGCCGTCAAAGTCGGTTACCTTATGGACTTGCTGGGCAAGAGTCTTTAAAGCGCTTATGTCAATCAACGGACAGCCACATGCAGCTAAAACGGATGTGGTTGCCGCAAAACAATCGCAATAACAATATACATATATAAAGCCAACGAATGTCAACAGTCTTTGAACCCGGCCAAAACACAGTCACAGCCAAAGATACTCAACAACCGAACCGAACCGAACCGAACAGAAACAATAACTTGGGTGGGCTGCTTTTGGGCCGACATGTGAGTTGTGGTAATGGAATACTTGGCTAACAACTGCGAAGAGCGAGGAAATAACGGTACAGCCGCTTATACAACCTACGACGTTGTAGGTGCGCCCCTCATTGGACAAAAGCCAGAAAAATATTTAAAAGACTCCTAACAATGGCAAGAAACAGCTTTAAAGTCAGGCAATGCTCAAATAACATTTTAAAGTTGGTGGAAAATGAGGAAAAAGGGATATACTGAATACTCTTCAAATTGTATAGTGAAATCTATTGGAATATCTCTAAAGAAGGAAACAATTTTGTCTGTTACTAAAGAATAACTACCTAATTTTTATAAGCTTCACTGAAAATACTTCCTCTTATTCGCTTAAACTTCCCCCAATAAAACTCAAAATACCCTCCATTCGATAGAGTATTAAAATGACAGTTTAAAGAGCAAAGAGCTGCTGGGATAAAAGGGGTAAGGCAGTAAGGTACTATGCAACATGGGGCACGACCAAGTCTTACAGGGACTCCACATTGGGCGCCTCAACCTATCACAAAATTTATGTAGCCATCAAGGCGAACGGTGGACGAACCAAGGATGCCACTTGGCATGGGACGTGCGGGGCATGAGAGCGTGTGGCAGCCACGAATGCAGTTCAATTATGAATTATGCTAGCAATTTCACTTGACATGTTGGCGTTCCTTTCGCTCCTCCTCTCCCCTCTTCCCCACCCCGCCCAAGGAAGCTGCCAAGCCACTAATTAAATGCAACTCTGTGGGGTCGATTTGTTGTGCTAATGCGACTCGCGTAATTACACAAACCTGCGACACCGCGATGGCGACGACGACGGCGGCAACATTCCAAGGCGAATGTTGCGTGTGTCAATAGAACGGTGAGAAATGCTTTGTAGCCGATCTGGGGAAGGAGCTGGAGGAGCATAGGTGCACTGTTCATAATATTCTATTAACTACACGCATATTTCTATATACAATACATAAAATAAAATTCACAAAGAAGCTCGGACCAGCTCAGTTATGCAAAGGGAAAGCATGTGTTATAGTTAGATATTATAAGTCAGTAATGAAATTTTAGAAAGTTATATATTATAGAACATGTCCTGTTTTTCTTGCAGTGTCTGAGACAGCCTCAAGACCTTTGTGTCCAAGGCGAGCTCCTTGGCGTCGTTTCTTTGTCCGCATTTGGCATGTGCAACAGCAACAGCAACAGCAACAGCAACAGCAACAGCAACACCAACACCAACAAAAAGCACAGCAGCAACAAAAGCAACAATGGCTTCTTTGTTGTGCCAGCTCCTTGTTGCCTTCATCATTGTTGTTGTAGTTGTTGCAGTTGTAGCTTTTGTTATTGTTGCTGGTGCTGCAATTGTACATTGACACCTTCTGGTTCGCAACTGTTTTTATACCCTTGCAGGGTATTATAATTTCAGTCAGAAGTTTGCAACGCAGTGAAGGAGGCACCTCCGACTATATAAAGTATATATATTCTTGATCAGGATCAACAGCCGAGTCGATCTAGCCATGTCCGTCTGTCCGTCTGTCCGTCTGTCCGTCTGTCCGTCTGTCCGTCTGTCCGCCTGTCCGTCTGTCCTTCTGTCCGTCTGTCCGTCTGTCCGTTTCTACGCAAACTAGTCTCTCAGTTTTGAAGCTATCTGAATGAAACTTTGTAGTTAGCCTTCTATATACTCTCACTCGTATATATGTCGGAACGGGCCGGATCGGACGACTATATCATATAGCTGCCATAGGAATGATGATTTTTTACAAAAAAATTTTTAACTTTTTCAGTTTTCAATAGAATTGGATCAAATTTGAGATATAGCCATTCTACTATACTCTACAATTTTGCATAAAATTTTATGAAAATCGGACTACTATATCATATAGCTCCCATAGGAACGATCGAGAAATTAATACAATTAAATTTATAACTTTTTCAGTTTTCAGCTGATTTTCATCAAATTTGAGGTATAGCCATTTTGTATTAGTCTTAAATTTTGTGTCAAATTTCATGAAAATCGGACGACTATGTTGTATAGGTGCCATACAAATGATTGTTTGATGTAGAGGAAAAATGCAAATCTGCGAATGTAAAACTGCAAATATAATATGTATAGGTGAATGAAATGAAAGCAGGTATTACTTCATTTTTTTTAACACAAATAAATATAATTTATATTGTTGAGATTCCAAGTCATTGAAGTTCTATCTGCAAGGGTATATAAACTTCGGCGTGCCGAAGTTAGCTTCCTTTCTTGTTTATTGTTGCCATTGCAGCTGTGACAGTCTTTGGTCCTCTTATTTAATACTCTAACATAAACATGAAACGCTTTAATATGAAAATTCAAAATTTTTTATAAAATTTGAAGAATACATCAATTTAAAAAAACTCATTACTAAGTCAAAAAAGCTTTAATTTCAATTCGGAAAGCGCTGCAGTGCTAGTTTTTATCAGGGTAACAAATCTGCATACTCAGTTTAAAATGTAAAATTTTTGCGATTTTTGACAATTTTAATGATGTAACCCC